CGGCTCCGGGAGGGCTCCGGGCGCATCCGGGACACTCCCAGGCTTCCCTGCCCCGGGCGTTTCTGTGCCCGTACTCCCCGTTCCGCTACGTGAGCCGTGCACTGAGGCTCTTTATGCAAGCTGAAAGTCGAGAGGTGGTGGGTGGACGATGCCTTTTTTTCGTTATTTGGTGGCTTAGTACGCCATTTAGACGCAGAATACACGCCTTTTACCGCATTAAGCGTGCGTTTTCTTGTCTGATGCTTTTCAGGATTTGGCTGCGTTTTTGTGCCATTATAAATCACAGTTTCTAAATCACGTCAGTAAAGGACTCACTGTGCTGTTTAAAAGAAAAAAATACTTGCGTTCTTTTCTGCGGGTACTCTTGCCTTTTGGATAAACTTAAGGGTTTTGCTTAGTCCATGGTTCCCTTGTCTCTTTGCCCTCACCCCTGTTGGGAAACATGGCTATAATGATAAAATGGGCCTTTCTGTGACTGTCCCATAGTATTGCATGAATGAAAGGTTTCTTAATTTTTGTGAAGTTCACTGTTGGAGGGTTCTCATTGTCGGGCAAACGTTTGTACTTTTAGATGTTATGGCTGATAGTAAACAAGTATAATATGAATGCTTGGTTTGTCTTTCTAGGTTTTGTTTTTCCCTACCCCGTCAATTTAATTTTATTCTTTTGAAGATTCTTCGTTGTCAAGCCGCCAAAGTGGAGAGTGCGATTGCAGAAGGGGGTGCTTCTCGTTTCAGGTACCCTTTGTTTGTTTGATGAGTAGTTAGCAATGGAAAATCTCCTTGGAGGGCATCTTAAATTAGTGTAATGTTTATACCAAAACGGGGATGTTTGGACTTACCCAGGATTCCGTGGTTGTTTTTAACAGTGCTTCTTCAGGCGGAGGAGGTGGTAGGGGTGCACCTCAGCACTATCCCAAGACTGCCAGCAACAGGTATGTCATCTTGCTCTTAGATTTGCATGACTTGAAAGTCAGAGCATGCTTGATAATGAACACAGAGCTGAAAATGGGCTAGCTTTTAAGTTGTACCAGAAATACATACTGAGCTAGAGAGCTTTAAATGGTCTCTAGTCTGTGCCCTTTAAAGTGTACCTCGTGGTTGATAGGCAGTGCATGGGCATGGGGTTATGTATTTACCTTAAGAAGTGTGGAGAGTATTTTTGGGTGCCAGCCATTGTTGTTGAGTACTTTTCTGTGCAGCAGATGTTGCAGTGTTGGTAGGAGTAATTTCATGCTCTTAACAAAGCAAGTAATGGAATTGGTTTGAGTACGGCATCACTGAAAGGTTAAAAGGGCAGTTCTTTAAATCACTTGTTTCTGTTTCAACAACTGTATTCTTCAAAATTTTGCAGCGAGTTCCTGGGGAAAACCCCAGGGCAAAACGCTCAGAAATGGATTCCTTCACGAAGCACTAGACGAGATGACGACTCCGCAAACGACAAAGAACGACATGATGCAATCTTCAGGAAAGTAAGAGGGTAAGTTCCTCACAAAATCACTTCTTTTCCTTACTGTTTTCATGAGCAATGTGTACCTAAGAAATGGGCTGGAGGAAAGGAAGATGTGGGCCTTGTATTTGGGGGAGGTGCGTCCTTTAGGAAGGAACCGGCCTGGTAATCTAGCAGCAGCAAACACTTAATTATTGTAAGCAGATTAGTATTTTCAGTGGTACTTCACTGAATGTAAAGATCTCAAAAAAAACCAGTTGAATGGAAAATGGCGCTTTTCAAAAGAAAAAAAAGTTGAGTCTAAAGTGACTCATAGCATGCTTAGAGTATCTGTATTTTCTGATTTTGGTTTTTTTTTCCTCTTTAGCATACTAAATAAGCTTACTCCTGAAAAGTTCGACAAGCTATGCCTTGAGCTCCTCAATGTGGGTGTAGAATCTAAGCTCATCCTAAAAGGGGTCATACTGCTGGTAAGCTGGTCGCATTTCTTTTAACTGCAGTTTTCTTGCATGCTGAAAAGCAGGGGGTTGGTTGGTTTTGATGGGATACAGAAGTAGCATGAAAAATGCTTTTGTGTATTTGGATTATCAAACACCATGTCCCACCCCTGCTTTCTGTGTAAAAAAGGATCTACTGGGGAGGAAGTAGTTTTAATGGTTTGAGTTTCTCATTTAGAAGTCCCCCCAATGACTAAACATGATTGGGCTTCTATGATTATTTTTTAAAATAAACTGAGGTGTGAGTTAGCCATCTTATTTGCTTGGCCTCCCTTTCTTCCTCTTTCCTGAGGAGCAAGCCACTTGGTTTTGAAAGGCAACCACTGGTGACCTCTGGGGACACTGATGTAACTAATAACGCCACTTTCTTTAAACGAGATCAGATTGGTGACACTAACGTAGGGGTTGGCATAATAAACTGGAGTTTTGGTGGCCCAGGATTACAGAGCCTTTTCAGTTGCAAGCAATGGCTTTTGTCCTTTGCTTCAGCATTGAGACTGGTGTTGGACGACAATGCTTCTGTGCTTGATTAGCAGGAAACAGGATGTTCTAGATGAGAGTGGTAGTAATCCATTCTGTGTCTTGTAACTCAGTCTCCTAATAACATTTGCACCCTCCTGCTGCTTGCTGCCTCACTCACCCTGGCTCTCTGTAGATCGTAGACAAAGCCCTTGAAGAGCCCAAGTATAGCTCGCTGTACGCTCAACTATGTCTGCGACTGGCAGAAGATGCACCCAACTTTGATGGCCCATCAGCAGAGAGTCATCCAGGACAGAAGCAAAGCACAGTGAGTGCATCTCTGTCCGCAGTGGTAAATTTTGCGTGCATTTGTGACTGCCCTGATTAGCTTAATTGTTTTCTTTGTTCTCTCTTTGTAGACATTCAGACGCCTCCTAATATCTAAACTTCAAGATGAATTTGAAAACCGAACCAGAAATGTTGATAGTAAGTTTTAAAACCGCTTTAATACAGGACCTATTTGTCATCTTTTCCCACAGCCATGTAAAATGGGCTTCTTTGTTTTCCAGTCTATGATAAGCATGATGGTCCCCTCCTCCCTGAGGAGGAGGAACAGAGAGCCATTGCCAAGATCAAGATGCTGGGGAACATCAAATTCATTGGAGAACTTGGCAAGCTTGATCTTATTCATGAATCTATCCTTCATAAGTGCATCAAAACAGTGAGTATTCAGATTGGGAGGGAAGCTAGGAGCAAAAACAAAAAAATATGCAAATATTGATGCTGCTTTGAGAATCTTGGAGCAGGAGTGGAGTATAAAATGGCACAAAAATGTTTCCTGACAATTGCTTATCCCCTACTGTCATCCTTTGGTGTGATTAAGAAGTAAAACCAGCTTTATTCAATGCCATAGGAATTGTCTCAAAAGGAAAATGAATACAGAAGTGTGCTGTAGGTGCTTGAAACTGTATACACACACTTAAAAATTGGCAGATCTTAATTTTAATTTTTAATCTGTTTGCCTTCAGAACAAAACAATTTTTTTAAATGTCAGCATACAAAGTTTGTTGCATATTATAAATTGTCATTTATAAAATTTTTAAATCCCGAATTTCCCTTTTAATTTTTCAGCTTTTGGAAAAGAAGAAGAGAGTTCAACTCAAAGATATGGGGGAGGATTTGGAGTGCCTCTGTCAGATAATGAGGACAGTGGGACCTAGATTAGATCATGCGAAAGCCAAGGTATGTGCCTATCTAGTGCAGTCATTAACTTAATTAAATTATGCAGCTAAGACTTGATTGCCTGAACCTTCTGTATTCATAAGTACAAAACATATTTTTGATTTTTTTTTTTTTTTTGGGGAAAAGAGTGCCCACTATGGCTTCTAGGCTAATTCTCTTGATAGAAGAGCAGTTTTAAACATTTCACCGGGATGTAGTTAGGGTCATCAGGAAATCATCTAAGTGAGAGTGTTGTTTTTCTAAACACTGCTTGAGAAGATGTGCTGAGGAACTATTCTTAGCACAGCTAGATGATTGGAGATGTGAGAGTTTGGAATGTAAGCTTAAAACGAACAGAATTTTGGCTGTGTTGCTATCTCTGATTCAAATGTCTTGATGCGTTAGATCTTTAGACTCTGTCATCAAGGAGCTAGAGATTGCAGGAAGGGGCAGCTTGTTGCATTATTTTGCCTTGAATATCATGAGTGAAAACACTCAAGGCACTGACAGGATAATTCTCACTTGTAACTTTTGTTCCCCCAGTCCTTAATGGATCAGTACTTTGCCCGTATGCGCTCCTTGATGTCAAGTAAGGAATTGCCAGCAAGGATTCGTTTCCTGCTGCAGGTATGATGATTAAATGGCTCCCAGTTGCTTTTTTTTCTTGCAAAATGGTCTTGAATCCTTTCCTAATAGCCTGTTCTGTTCGAAGGATACTGTGGAGTTGAGAGAACACAACTGGGTTCCTCGCAAAGCTTTTCTTGACAATGGACCAAAGACTATCAATCAAATCCGTCAAGATGCAGTAAAAGTGAGTGTGTAAGGTCTGGAGCTGCCTTGGTGCTGTGCACTTGGGAGTAGTTCTCACACAGTGTCACAGTTGGCTTAAGGGTTAAAACCAGATGGACTTATGTAGCTGGGAGCTAAAAGCTTTGCTTTCTTGGGGCTGCTACTTGAAACTGACCAAAATTGTAATTCCTGTTTTAAAGGATCTGGGAGTTTTTATTCCTGCTCCTATGTCTCAAGGGATGCGAAGCGACTTCTTTCTGGAGGGACCCTTCATGCCACCCAGGATGAAACTTGACAGGGACCCACTCGGAGGGCTTGCTGATATGTTTGGACAAATGCCAGGTACCCTAGCAGCACAGAGTGATGGGGTGGCTGTGGCTCTGCTGTGCTGAATAAGAACTAAAATTGTCATTTGTCTCCTTGCTGATCCAGGTAGCGGAATTGGTACTGGTCCAGGAGTTATTCAGGATAGATTCTCACCCACCATGGGACGCCATCGTTCAAACCAACTCTTCAATGGCCATGGGGGTCACCTCATGCCTTCTGCTCAATCCCAGTTTGGAGACCTAGGCAAATCTTTTCTGAAAAGTCAGGTAAGGAAGCTGTTTGCACGGTGACTTCAGCTTGTTTAGAAGCACTTCCTGAGATGCGTATGTTATGGATTAAAGTCTGCTTATGTTAAAAGACCTATTCAGATCTGATTCTGATAACTGATGCTCAGCTGATACAAAAATTCTAAACCACTTTTTAAATAGTACAAAAGAAGTACACTTTTTTTTTTAACTGCAAGAAAAGGTGCATGTGGCTTTGGTGGGTCAGAACGGTGTATTTTATTTAAAAGATGGCCCTGTTTTTAGGGATAGATGCTACTCTCCCACCACCCCTGCTCCTTCTTTCTCCCTTCCTGGCAAATAGAATCTTTGTTCCTCTGGTCCCTCTGGTACTACTTACCAAATGATGTACGCCACTCCATCATCTGCACTTCTTTCTCTATATTTCCCTTTCTGAAATAGGGGCAAAGCCAACTCTACCATACCCAGAATCAGGGACTCTTATCCCAGCAACAAGGACAGTCGAAGGATATGCCACCTCGGTTTTCTAAGAAAGGACAGCTTAATGCAGATGAGGTACATGACATGCCTACATTATTTACAGCCTATTCTAAATATTGCCCAATGATTATAGCAAGACGCGTTATTATGAGGACTAATGCTGGAACTCTTTCTCCTCCTCCTCATTCTCCTCCTTCTTTGTCCCTTCCTCTTTCACCTTTTACCCCCCTCACTTTCCTTAGGGTATCCAGCGTCCTATGAGCAAGACTGAGATATGAGGGCAATTTTTTGGGGTGTCCTTTCCTTCCCAAACACTTCCAAGAACACTACTCTGACATCAGTTCCCATGCATCCTATTGATAACAAAACATTTAATTAAAACTTCAGAAAATCCTGAACTTTAGAAACCCTGAAGTGCTGGACCAGGTTAATTTTTTTAAATTTTCTTTTGTTTAGAACTGGCTAATAGGCAAAATTTCAAATGCAGAGTAAACTGCATTGTGATTTTGAGTGTTAACCAGACTTGTATCCCAATTTCTGAGCAATTCGGTAGAGTTTCGTTTTGGCTGTAAAATACATCAGCAAGCATGCTGATTATCTTCTTGGGTCTCTAACATACTGCATCTAAAAGGAGCATTTCCAGATTTTTATAGTAGTTGAACTAAATGCCAGTAACTTGCTTTTGGGGGAGTTTCAGAACACATGTGGCTTAATCTGTATTTGAGTATTAATATTGTAGAAATGGAGTCATGCTTCAATGAGATGAGTTGGAGCGAGTCCATGGCTGTGTATTGTTGGTCGGAATACTTAAAACAGTTTGAGTTTTTCTTTGACTTACTGTTTACAGATTAGCCTGAGACCTGCTCAGTCTTTCCTGATGAATAAAAACCAAGTGCCAAAGCTTCAGCCCCAGATAACTATGATTCCTCCCAGTGCTCAACCACCACGCACTCAGACACCGCCTTTGGGACAGGTAAATACAAAAAATTCCTGCATCTTTTTGGCTATACTTTCCTGTTTGTGCTTGGAAAACTTAAATTTCATATGTGGGGAGACAGAAGTCTTTGATTGCACAGAACAGGACTTGCGGAAAGAATATATTAAACCAAACCAATTTGAGTTCCATCTGCTTTCTATGTTCTGTATTGTAAAACTTTCTATAAGCAAAGGTAGATGTGCTACAAAGAAACAAATTCTGGTCTCTTTTTCAGCCGCCTCAACTTGGTCTTAAAACAAATCCACCACTTATACAAGAGAAGCCTGCAAAGACCACCAAGAAACCACCTCCTTCTAAGGAAGAGCTGCTTAAACAAACTGTAAGTTAGTGTGCAGTAGTGAATCTTAGAGCTTTGGATGTGATCTTCAAAAACAATGTTTAACTGTGGCTCTTTTCTTCTCCAGGAGGCTGTTGTGACTGAGTATCTGAACAATGGAAATGCTAATGATGCTGTCAACACTGTGAGAGAAATGAGAGCTCCGAAACACTTCATTCCTGAGATGCTGAGCAAAGTAATCCTTCAATCCCTAGATAGATCAGATGAGGACAAAGAGAAAGCAAGTACTTTGATCAGCTTGCTCAAGCAGGAGGGAATAGCCACCAGTGACAACTTCATGCAGGTATTGTGGTCTGATAATCTTGCAGTTCTTGTTTCTTTGTGCTTCATGGTGTTTAGCTGCTGTAAAGGTGGTGTGCAAATATTGTTTTTTTAACTCCTCCTAGTCTGAGGAGATAAAAATAGCACATGAACCTGTGAGGGGCACAGGAAGCAATAAAAAGAAGACATGCAGTAATTAGGCAGCTGGAACCTGGGATCCTCTTTACAAGGGATTACAGAAAACATGAGTATTATGTTGCACAGGAACACAATTACTTGGGAATTTAATCTTGTGTGTTTACTGTTTCTTAGGCATTCCTGAATGTATTGGACCAGTGCCCCAAACTGGAGGTGGACATCCCATTGGTGAAATCCTACTTAGCACAGTTTGCAGCCCGTGCCATTATTTCAGACCTGGTGAGCATTTCCGAGCTGGCTCAACCACTGGAAAGTGGCACCCACTTCCCTCTCTTCCTGCTCTGTCTTCAGCAGTTAGCTAAGTTACAAGACCGTGAATGGCTAACAGAACTGTTCCAACAAAGCAAAGTGAATATGCAGAAAATGTTACCAGGTAAGATTTGCCACAGAGCTCCTCTGTTACCTGATCCTAGAGTAAGCGAGATGTTCTAGTTTGTGCCAGAGTAAAATAATGTGCAGAGTTCTCTTGGTGGAATGAGCTGTCATTATTGTTAGGAATGATGTTTTTTAAGGGGTGGCTGGAGCATGAACCATCACTTGGAGCTCTTGAGAAGTGCTTAACACGTGTCTTTGTTTCCTTGTCAGAAATTGACCAGAACAAGGACCGCATGCTGGAGATCTTGGAAGGGAAGGGGCTTAGCTTCTTGTTCCCGCTTCTGAAACTGGAGAAGGAACTGCTAAAGCAAATAAAATCGGATCCATCCCCTCAAGCCATCTATAAGTGGATTAAAGATAACATTTCACCCAAGCTTCATGTAGATAAGGGATTTGTGAATATATTGATGACCAGGTGGGATGCTGTTTTGATGTATTTTTAGGTATTTGTTTGGTTAAGCTACCAGTAAGGCACTAATTCTGTAAAGGCTCAAATGTAGCTCTGCAGAAATCTGAGATGCAGTACATGGGGAGACAGAGTGTTCTGAGTGAACCTTCTCTAGTAAAATCCCATTGTATTTGAGAAGAAAGGCAAGTCTCCAGGCTTGCATCAGTATGTGAAGTGGTTTCTTGGACAGGAAGTCTAGATCCATGTGTTTTTCTTAAATGTAGAGCTGTAACAAAAGCAGAACAAGGATTTTCCTGGTGTGCTCTCAACCATAGTACAAGTCCCTATGCTTGCTCCTGACTGCAGGTGGAAGCAGGATAGTTGGAGTGATAGCTATCTGAACTTTTTATATGTCAAGTGCTTTGATGTCTTAGTTTATACAACTTAGTTTGGCTTTTCTTCTGTCCAGTTTCTTGCAGTATATTTCTAGTGAAGTAAACCCACCTAGTGACGAATCGGATTCTTCATCTGCTCCATCAAAAGAGCAGCTCGAGCAGGAAAAACAGCTGCTTCTTTCCTTCAAGCCGGTGATGCAGAAGTTCCTCCATGACCATGTTGATCTGCAAGTGAGTGCTCTATATGCACTCCAGGTGCACTGCTACAACAACAATTTTCCAAAAGGTAAGTACATTGAGGTTTCACTTCAGTTGGCTTGTCCCTACATTTCTTAAAATTCAGCAAGTGTTTGAGAAGGTTATAAAGCTAACCAAGTTAAAATTAACTTTCGTAGGCATGTTACTGCGCTTCTTTGTTCATTTCTATGACATGGAGATCATTGAAGAAGAAGCCTTCTTGGCATGGAAAGAAGACATTACTCAAGAGTTTCCAGGGAAAGGCAAAGCTTTATTCCAGGTAAATCTCCTAACATTAGAATATAGACTTGTTTTTTTGTTTATCTGCTGTACTGGAGTGTTTGAGAAGACTGCCGAAGTGTGTAAGACTTGTAAATATCTAGAATCTTCATGGAATATTCCACTAGGAGCACGATGACCTAAATCTCTCCTATTGACTGGAGGCCTGTGTGTAGTGCAAATGTGGATGAAAGTTCTTTTAAAATGAGATGGGGGAGGGGAAGATAAGTGTTTTGTGAAAAAACCTAATGGGGAAACAATTCCTGCTCCCTTAAACCAATTTTGTATAACTGCAGGTAAACCAGTGGTTAACCTGGCTGGAAACTGCTGAAGAAGAAGAATCTGAAGAAGAAGCTGACTAAAGAACCAGCCAAAGCCTTAAATTGTGCAAACATACTGTTGCTATGATGTAACTGCATTTGACCTAACCACTGCGAAAATTCATTCCGCTGTAATGTTTCACAATATTTAAAGCAGAAGTATGTCAGTAGGATATTCTCTGCAAAAGGTTTTTGTAGTATGTCTTAATAGTCTACAATAAAAATATTTTAGAGTATCTTCAATGTTTAGATAACAGTGTATTAGCAGCATGCAATAATTACATCATAAGTTCTCGAGCAGAAGCAGTCTGTTGCAAGGGTCTTCTTTGCTGCCAGTTATCATAGGCTGTTTTTAAGTTAGAAACTGAATAGCAACACTGAATACTGTAGAAATGCACTTTGCTCAGTGTAATACTTGAGTTGTTGCAATATTTGATTATCCATTTGGTTGTTACAGAGAATCCTTAACTGTAATCGATGGTTGTTGCCGTAATAGTATATTTGCCTGTATTTCTACCTCTAGTAATGGGCTTTATGTGCTAGGTTTTAATATCCTTGAGCCTGGGCAAGTGCACAAGTCTTTTATAAAAGGAACAGTTTACTTGCACAAAAACTGATCGGCTGAAGAGATGGTTTAATGCCCTTTGGAAGAGGTTTTTGTGGGTGTGAAACATGACATGGTGAGAAATTTGAATTGGTCCCTCTTACAGTACTGAAATTAAGTCTATTAATTTATCAAGACATGTTCATGCCCTGATTTTATATACTTGTATCTATCAATAAACATTGTGATACTTGACTTGTTTCTGAATGTCTCCCAGTAGAAAAGCTTTGGCTGATGACTTGTTCACTTAAGAAATTAAACATCAGTGGGAGTTGCCTTAGGTTGCAGCCATCCTGAAATTACTTTTACACTCCTTGTGTGGATATGCAGATAAATTCTAAATAAGGTCACAGACAAGATGAGACAGCTGCGTTGTGACAGGAGGAGAATGATGGAGTTGTGCTGAAGAAATGGTAGGGGTTTGCCTTGTGGTCCAATGTATGCTTTATCAGTGAGTGTGCTTTTGACTTGGTTAATGCTTTGAGCTTCCCCCCAGGCCACATGCATGTTTCTGAATCAAGTGGCACTGTCTATTAGCTGCCTGTTTCTCAAATCAAATTGGCAAAAAAATGCCTACAAAAAAGTTGAATGATGTTGCATTGTACAGGCTTGAAATGTCATCTATTAAATACTCAAAACACCTTACTTCCTAGAACCTTGTCCCCAGTGAGTTTTTTCGTCCTCATTGATACTCAAGACTTACATTCTTGAAAGGTGATATATTTGTAGTGGCTCCTGGACTGGAGCTTTTTTGCCAGTGGTGTGAGTGCTGTAGCCTGTGAACTGTTACACAGCACAGGAAGTGAAGTGGAGCCCAAGAAAAGGACTAGAGCTGATAACTGGGCTTGCTTTGAGGAAAGGGAGAGTTGCAGTTGGCAGTGGAGCACCTTGTAATGCTGCAGCTGGGAAAGTTGTGGTTTGCTTTGGAGGGCTCCCTAACTCCAGTCATGGCTCTGCCCTCCTGAGTGTTCTGCGCCATGGTCTGTCAGGGAGTTCTGCTGCTGCCCTGGGAGCTCCTATGCAGTGTGGAGCCCAGGAACTCCAGGGACTGTGCTCTACAAGCCAAATGACAAAGGCTATTGAGCTTGAATGGCTGGCAGAATTGATGGCCCCATCTCTACATTTCAGAAATGGGGTGTAGGAAGGGAGAGCAGGGGATACTGGTGCGGGTGGGGTCCAGTTCAGAGACAAGAATGCGTCAAATGCGGTTCAGTGGCTCGAGGTTGAGCTGGCTGTGTGTGATGGAGCTGCAATTCTTGGGTGGCAGTGGTGAGCACTGGCATCCTGGGCTTCCCAGAACACTTGGTGATATGTTGTTCTCAAACTCATGACTTTCCTATCTATGGAGTGATACAGTCACTGCTAGAACTAGAGGGGTGCAGGCTCAGCTGTGTGTGTGCTATAGGCACTAAGGTTCTGCAGTTCAATACTCATTTAACAGGATGGACAAATGCAAGTACAGTTAGAGAGTTCATTTAATCCTAACCATATCAAAATTCTGTTCTAGAATTGCTTTTTAAAGCGTAACAAGTGCTGTGAAGTGAAAGCTACCATTGTTTCACTGAGAGTGTTGTGTTTTTCCAAGTTCGTCAGTTTTTGCTTGAACTTTGCTGTTACTGCTGGTTGGTTTAGTGGTGTATGGTGCTATAATACTTCCTGTGTACATGGGCATCTCTATGTGAAGCATGTGATGCACTTTGCTCCTGTGCCCTGCAGAGGGAAGATGGAGAGGAACCACAAGGCAGGAAAGAGTGGTTTCCAACTCAAGTTATATCAGAGGTGAGAGGAGAAGGTAGAAGGATGTGCAAGTAAAAATGGGAATAGATCCAGAATCTGCAGCTAAGCTTTTCTGCCGCATTTTGGAGAAGGCTGAGCTGGCAGCTCTGGGCTCCTTGCCACAGTAACTAAGCCTTGTATTCTTGCCCAGTCTGACATGTCCTTACTACAGCCGTATGTACCCGTGCATGGGGGCTTTGCTGCTTGGCTTGTTTCTAACTGACCACTGAGTTAGGAACTCTGGTAGAGAAAACTATAGAAAGAACAACTAAAAATGCAGAATAAAACATAAACAGTAGAAAATGCCACTAAAAGGTGGAATTAGCGTTACATGACTTGGAGAATCCTCATGCAGTGTGAACAGCTCTGGGTTCTTCAAACTGGTGTAAAAATGGTGCTTACTGCAGTGTGCACATCAAAGTGGTCTCTCCATAGATGAGGAGAGGTGGTAGCATCTTCACAGTCTTTTCTGCTGCTGAAGTTTTTAAGTGCTCAAGTGCAAGACTTGTGGCTAATCTGGAACAGGGATGGCTGGTGGTTGGTCTCACTTCTGTGCTCCTGTTAACTATGAGTGGCATTGTACTTAAAATGTAAACACAGTGCTTAATTCTACATAGTAAAGTCACAGTCAAAATTAAACCACTGTAACTGATTAATTATAATGGCTTCTATTAATATTATTTTTGTTAAGGGTTGGGTATAATTATACTGCTAGGAGCATTGGGAGAAACTGCATTTTACACATATTTCCTACCACTTACAGCAACTCACTTGATACTCTGAAATTCAGAATTAGGTTGCAGCTCCTATTCAGGAACCCTCATCCTGTCAGATGTGGGTTAGATTTTGAGAAGGACCTGTCATGGTGAATTCTCACCTGCTCCTAAACTGTGTCATAGTGGTACAGCTGCTGCCTCGTCACTGATCACAGCAGTAGGCCACCATCTGTCCAAGCTGCAGTGGTGCTTAGGTATGAAATCTGAGAATTCCAGGAATGTGTTCTGATCATTGAATCCTGGAAAATCATCTAGTTCCAGCCCCTCTGTGATGTGCAGGGACACCTCCCAAAGAGACCAGCTTGCTCAAAGTTTCATTAAGCCTGGCCTTGAACAGTTACAGGGATGGGGTGGCCACATTCTCTGGGAGCCTGTTCAGTGTCCACCACCTTCTTAGTACAGAATTTCTTCCTTTTACCTCACCTCAACTCTTTTAGTAGCCATTCCCCCTTGTCCTGTCAATACCTGCCCTTGTCAGAAGTCCCTCTCCACCTCTCGCAGGAGAACCTTACGCAAGCTCAACACCCCCAACTTCAGCCTCCTCCCCCTGGGAGGGCTGTTCCAAATCACCTGAGCAGGTCCTAAAAGTCAAAACACCTCAATGACTCCTATGCAGTTCTGTTGCTTGGGGAACAGTGCAGGAAGAAGCCTTACAGTGTGTGGGAAAAGAGGGAGGCTTGGGTCCAGAACAAAATTTTTTAAGAGTGGCTTATCTGACCTGCTTTTTTAGCATATGGAAGCTTCCCTCTGAATGCTGTTTGGACTTGGAGTGCTTTTTCCCTTTTTCTCCAAAGCAGTGTGTAAATCCAAACAATTTGATCATTTCAGTGCACTCCTGAACTGTACAAATTTAGAACACATCTGAACCATGAATTATCATGGCTTATGTTGCAACCCAGGCAAGCAGCTGCAGAGACTGATTAAAAAAGAGTCTCTTCCTAATTCATGCTTATTCTCAAAAGTGAATTCCCAGGGAGCTGGTCCAGCAGTGTGAAGGGTGGTGGGCTTGTGCTCACAGGTACCTGAGAAACCCCCATTTATCAACTGTGGTTGCCGCAGTGTTTGCTTCAAATGGTGCTCAGCTCCAGTCTTGTCCTGGTGGGGGGGTTGTGCAAGGCCTTGGGCTAGGTGGCACCACTGCTGTCACAAGGATTCCCCTCAGTTTGGCAGGAGGTCCTTACTTGGAAGCTGATAAATAGCCATGGTGCATCTCCTACGTCAAATGATTTGAATGAATATGAGAAGGGACAAGAGAGTGAGTCTAGTGGCAGAATGGGTCAAAGTGTCACAAATGTAGTGGCTTTTCCCCTCACCTCACGCAAATCTGTAAATTGATCACTGCTCTTCTTTTCTCTCCAATGCTGTTGGCCAGAGAACCAGAGCACACAGCAGGTCCTCTTGTCCAGCAGGCAGGGATGGGCTCAGTTCAGGGGGCAAGGTCCTGTAGGCACATCTCTAGCCTGGGATGATTTTATCTCCACACATTGCATCTGGAAAAGCAAAACAGAAACAGCAGCTGAGCTGGGAGCTGTGCTCTGTGACAGCAAAGGGAAAAGCTGCACAGCTACAGTTGCAGGCATCAGATAGGAGACTGTATCAACATGGCTTTGAGGTTTATTTATGCCAGGGTGGTTCTACATACAGCGCAAGATATACCCCAAAAATCTTGTCAGTACTTCAGAAATAGCTGTTATTTGTTGTCCAGCAAGGTACAAGCTGGTTAGAGTATGTCCCTGGATCCACCCCTATCCTGGAATTTCAGAATAAGCTTCACTTCTAAAAGACCAAGAATTCTCCCAAACAGGTTCAGGCCTTTCCCTCTGACAGTCAGGGACTGGGATTCTTCAGGCAGGAGTTCCTTGAATAATGTGCCTTTTAAGTGGTGCTGTAAAGGCACACAGGCTTGTCTGGGTTTGATTTAGGGAGCCCACATCCCTTTCCTTTAAGGGAGGGTGGTTGGAGAGGAGTGAACTGTTATTTTTAATGAGTTGACGAAGCAGCCATGGCAACAGTTACACTTGGCATGGATACATGGCTGGAGTAAGGAAAGCAGCCAGCTGAGGGGATTTTTATCTTCAAATATTTTGCAGTTTAGAACAACGTCAATCTTGCATTTAGTTTTTGTTTATGTTAGCAGTAGAAGTGCTTGAAGAATCTGGTGTGTGAAGTATTCCCAGAATTTTATTATCTAAGAAGCTGTGTAAAACCACTCAACTTTGTGAAAGGAAAAGGGATTTTTAACTGGTTTGATAGTGTGGAGGAGTTTATAGAATTTGCTCTGTTACAAAATGGATGCTTCTCTTTTTGGTAGGACAAAGTGAAATTTGAGACGTGGAAGTACACAGAGTTAAAACTGAAAGACAGGTGAAGGCTTGATCTGCATTTCTTTAGGGATTTTGTTTAACCCTTTAAGAAATGATTGCATGTCCTTTCAGATTTCAGAGACAGCAGAGTAACAAACAAAGCTCCAGGCACATGCAGTGGGCCAGCTTTGTGTTCCTTCCCAGTTCCTTCCCAGAGCCATAAAGCAGGGGAAGGATTAAAGCCTTGGGTTTTTCTATTTGTACAGGTATACACACATACATATTATGCATATCCCCATTTATCTTTATTCCTTTTATTCCCCTTGGAGAAATGCCATTCAGTTACTTGATTATTTTAAGCTTAGGTTGTTAATATTTCTGAGTAACAGTAGAAGCATTAGTCCTAATCCCTCCTCCCAATATTGACAACAGAACAGGAACTGGCCTGGGCCTCAGCTGCCTGTTAACCTTAAACAGCCCCATGAGCTGAGCTCAGAAAGGCAGGGCTCACTCAGTTCCACATAAAGAACATTTTTAAAGTCAAGAGAGCCCTAGCCAGGCTGTGGGGAAGAGGCCCAGCACGACACAGCCATGAGAGGCAGGGTAGGTGCACTGCACTGCTTTTAGGCTGTACATAACTGATTACTCACTTCATCAACACAGCAGCTTCATTTCCTGCTCCACTGAAGGTTTCCATGGTGACCTCCAATTTCCCACAGTTTCCCTTCTATGGGATTGATGTAATTTAATTGGCAAGACCATGAACTATTTAGCTGTGATGAAAGGCCCCTCATAAATTCAATTAGATAAATATCTCAGTAGATTTGCCATGCAGGTAGGGACCATAATGCAGTAAAAGCCCAGCAACAGGTGAAACCTGACTGTGGCAGTCCAGGGGCTGGAATGGCTCTGATAAAACACATCAGTTATAAATACAGAATGTGCTATTATATCCTTATGGAATTCTTGCCAGTGCAAATTCCATAATAATCTTCCTGAAGGACTGAAGTGCAACTCAATTCAGGAATCATTTCATATTTTACATAAACTCCTCAAAGACTCTACACACTAACTGGTTTGTGAGGGGAAATATCATTGATTCAAACTTTTCCTTCCCCTCTTGCTTTAGGAACAGGCTGCTCCTTGGATTGAACAATATAAATCCAGGTAATCCTGTTACTTCTGACATCACATGAGCTTTGGTTTTTCATCCTTCAATAAGGAACATGAAAAGACACTACAGACCGAGTTGAATCCTGGTACTACACCTGTTACCTGTACAGGTAGATGGGAAGATGGGAATGGGCTTCCTACAGACCCTGGTTCAGGCTGAGAGCTCTGGATCCCAGCACATGCACCACAGAGGAAGAGCCTCCCTGCACTGCAACACCACAAACACTGTGCTGTCTCTGTGTACTCACCCCAGCACCTCCAGGAGCTCCCAGTTCCCAGATGCTGTTTGCCAGGCACTTTCACAGCTCCACAAGAAGTAATCCTTAGTTTGCCTGACAATCTGAATAAGGCTTGCTGTTGGCATTTGCTGAAATGGCAGACATAAAGCACAATTTGGGGAGAAAACCCCCTAAATGTAACAAAAAAACCTCATAAAAGCAGAATTAAGAAGGGAACTGATAGATGGATGCCAGCTGTATTTATGCCTGCTCTGGGAAATCTCCCTTTCAGTTCCTCAGTGTGATAAAGGTTCATGTAAACTTGATCCTGCTGGATTGGTCTAGGGAGGAAAGAGAGGGGAAGATTACATCTAAATGGGAAACTAATTCAAGTGAATAACAAAGGAAACATCTGAGCTCCTGGGGTGCTGGGTGGGATTCCTCTTACTTAACTATCCAAATGCTGGGTGTCTAGACATCCACACACTCCTGGGGCAGCAGACAGGAACAGGATCCTCAGAGTGACTCACTCCTCCCACCTTACACAATTACCTTGGGATGGCATGATTTGCCCCTGGGGATGCCAGGCCACGGGTGTCTCTCTACAAGGTGTCTAGACTGCTAATTTTGAGATGTCTGAAGATAAATAAAATTCACTTATATCACCTGGCCCTATAACACTGTAATAAAATGTGCCATTGTTGCAAGAAGAAAATTTAAGAATGTGATTGATCCAGCCCTTTCTTTTTTTTTTTTTTTCTTTTTTTCTGATGACAGTATGAGATTGATGCAATTTGGAAATCAACATAGTAATTTTCTCTACACAGCCTTACAGCAACCCATTTAATTAGAATTGCAAATGTAGATATATAACCTGCAGGATCAGGCGCAGGGGATACGTACAGCTCTATGGGAAAAAAGAAATCCAGCAATAAACATAATGAAAATCTTGGCCATAATGTCTCTCAAGGTCTCTGAAATTATTATTTTTTTTGATACTGCCTTTTAAATGCTCATTTTAACTAATTGGTAATCCTTATTTACAGAATTATTTTGTCTTTTTGTTTTTCCTTCTTGATTTTTCTGCTTCTGGAGACTTCAGGAGTTTCTCTAAAACACTGGATTTCTGCACCGCTAACCCACATTCCTTCCCCTTCTCTTCTTTGCCC